GCCTGCAGTCCGAACCCCAGCGCTCCGCGCGGGGCTGGCAGCCCAAGCCCCAGGAAGAGCGGGGCCGGCAGCCCGAGCCCTACCCCCGTCAGCGGGGAAGCCAGCAGTGATTCAGGACTTCCAAGAGCTATGCAGAGCAAAGCAAGCGCATCCATCACACTGAGGAAATTTAAATGTAAATCCCTGGAAATATTCATTTTTAGGAGGGGGTTCGTGAGATTTCACAATTTAGTGAAATGGGTTCGCGGGCTGTTAAAGTTTGGGAACCACTGCTCTAAAGTCAGTTCCCCTGAGCCAACGGCTCATTAGGCTGCTGTGGTTAAGGCATATCATCCTGTTCCCTCTTCTTAGCAAGGCACATGTATTTGAGCAGTTGAATGGTCCATTGATAAAACAGAATTCAGACTAGCCTTGCTGATAATCCCAGAAGGCTTCTGGGTAAAGCGTGTTGTAATAATCATGTACCACTAATCTGTACATTGAGAAATTATACTAGCAAGACACAGTCTGCAATGTTCTTTTCTGGAAATAATTGCTTAATTTGTGGCAGGGTGTGCCAGGGCTGAGCGCCAGCACCTCTGGGCTTGGCACTTCATAGCCCGGGCACCTCTGGGCTTGCCACATCAGTTATGAAAGTAAAAAAAATTCTTAAACCCCAGCACCTCATTCATTACAAATTAAGCATTTAATTTAAAAGTCTCCATTCAGACTATGAACTTTCGAAATAGGTTTGACTCAAACATAATTTAGTCTTGAGAAAAGAGCACTGAGGTGGGGATCTGATAAAAAACAGTCTTCAAATATGTTAAGGGCTGTTATAGAGAGGCCTGTGATCGACTGTTCTCCATGTCCACTGAAGGTAGGACAAGAAGTAATGGTCTTAATCTGCAACTAGGGAGATTTAGGTTAGATATCAGGAAAAAACTTTCTAACTATATGGGTAGTTAAGGAGTAGAGAATCCCACGCCTGCCAGTGTGAGTCTAGGTTTACTTGGTCCTGCCTCTCACAGGTGGCTGGACTGAACGACTTCTTGAGGTCCCTTTCAGCCCTACATGTCTGTGATTCTAGAAGTTTGAAAAAGAGCATCCACGGGCAAGTTTGTTTAATTTGTTGTATATAAATGTGGAACCTTCTATTTCATGCCATTTCAATGAATCATTAACCATAGCAACCTATTCTTTAAACACATTTGCATGCCTTTTTTTTATTACACACACACACACTTTTTGGAATAAGACCATATTCTTGTAAACAGTGGGCCTGATTTGATGCGCATGTATACGGACGCACCCATAAAGCCCTTTTACATGATCAGAGTGGTTAAAAGGGGCCTTTGTGAAAATGAGATTTAGGCCAGATGGGTGCAACTCAAAACAAATCTGTGGACACATTAACAGTTGGCTACAGCAGTTCAAGTTATACTGGGAGTTTGACACTGGAAAACATAATTGCAACTATACATACAAAATAATGGAGTCTAAATTAACTGTTACTATTCAAGGAAGTTTGCTATCATCATGGACAGTTCTCTGAAAATATCTGCTCAATGTGCAGAGACTGTCAAAAAAGCTCACAGACTGTTAGGAGCCATTAGGAAAGGGATAGATAAGACAGAAAACATGACACTATATAAATACATGGTATGCCTACACCATGAATACTGTGTACAATTCTGATAACCCCATCTCAAAACAGATATTAGAATTTTAAAAAGTACAGAGAAGTGCAACAAAAATGATTAGGGGAATGGAACAGCTTTTATACGAGGAGAGATTTAAAAAAAACGGACTGTTCATCTTAGAAAAGGGACAACTAAGGGGGGATATGGTAAAGGTGTACACAGTCATGAAAGATGCAGAGTAAGTGAATAAGGGCGTTTTATTTACCCTTCACATAACAGAAGAAACGGGTCACCCAATGAAATTAATAGGCAGCAGGCTTAAAACAAACAAAAGGAAGTACTTCTTCACACAACCTGTGGAATTCATTGCCATGGGATGTTGTGAAGGCCCAAAAAAAGGATCACTGATTCAAAAAAGAATTGGATAAGTTCATGGGGGATAGGTCCATCAGTAGCTATTAGCCAGGATGGTCAGGGACACAACCACATGCGCTCTGGGTGTCCCAAACTCTCTGCTGCCAGAAGCTGGATGACACAGGATAGATCACTTGATAATTGCTCTGGCTGTTCATTCCCTCAAGCATCTGGGACCAGCCACTGTCAGAAAAACAGGATACTGGGCTAGGTGGACCTTTGGTCTGACCCAGTATGGCCATTCTTATGTTCATATTAGTGGCTCACTGCAATTCTAAACTCATATAAAGATTTAAAAAATTATTTAACAGCATTAAGAGCAGAGGCAGCTTAGACCCAAAAATGGCAAACTCACAAAGAACATTAGTTAAAAAGAATACCATGCTAAGGAACAAAACAGACACAAGCTGCTTCCTCCAACCATAAGCTGCAATGGATCATGCAAAGAGGTTGGTGAGGGTTGTTTTGATGGTTTTTTTTCTTTTCTTTTTAGTGCCTTTTTAAAAATAGAAAAAAGTTAGCAATGCATTTAAATCAATAGGCTTCTTTCGGGGACCGATGGCCTGCCCTAAGTGACCTAGTTTTCAACCTAGGAACATTTCAAATTAGGTAATTGTCAGCCATCCTATAAATTACTGTCCTTTTTCTCTGGGGGGCGGGATGGAGGACCCATACAGGCCAAGGCAACAGACCATCTTGAGATAAAATTATCACATCTTGAAGAGTTAAGAGCAGAAACATTTGCTAGTACAGATTTCAGCTGCATTCAGTAAGACCGTCTCACAGTTCTTAGGGAGCAGCAAAAACTGAAAAGCACCAGTAACTGAAATATCACAGATGTTACCTTTCAGACAACAAGCATGTGACCTAAGTCAATACTCTTCTTTGCAGTGTGGAGAAAATCTTGTCTCAACTGGTTCAAATCAGATCATCATAGAAATTACCAGGTTACTGATAAGATACTGATTAGATGTAGTAAATCAAAAGTGTGGTTAACAATAAAGAACTCCAAAGAAGATTCAGAGGTATAGAAAAAGCATGAACTCCCCAACTCTCTATAGTGTGGAAGGATCATATATGCAATATGCTGTTTCTGCCATTAATCAATATTTATGAACTCCTAACAAGAAAGGTGATGCTTACAAGGCAACCTAATTCTAAACAGTAATTAAACATCACCTAGGTCTTCCTTGTAAAGTGATTGTAAATCTGAATTATTTACATGCACTTTGGAATTAAAAGGACAGCAAAGCCTTTGTAAAATAAATTTTATAAATTCTAATAGTTATTCAACAAAAGAATCTTTGTAATTACTGCTTAAGTATGGTACACAGATACAAATAAATTATTCATTAAATACAACTCACATCTGGGTTTTATTATACTCTGTAAAATATACAGGAATCTTGATGTACTGAAAGAGTGCAGGTAAATACAGTATTCAAGCAATCACTATTTCTATGTACATGCTCATTAATTCTTCAAAAAACCCACAAAATTATCAAATAGATCAAAATACTGTCCTGTTTTTCCACACTTTATGTTCAGAAAACCAGCTGATAATTTACAATGGCATTAAGGTTTCCAGTTTCACAATACAAAAAGGATAAAAGGTAATTGGGATTCAGTTTATTTGTATTTTACCTGGACATGCAAGAATCCCTTGCATGTGCGTAAGTAATTTAACTTTAAAAGTAATAGTTATAGTTAAAGCAGAACCCAATAAACTAAATACTCATTTAACAGACAAACTTCAGTCTTCCATTTTTCAGGCGCTTTTTTTTTTTTTAAACAGTAGTCTGTTATAAATAAAAAGACTGAGGGCAAGTTTGTACTATACTACAGGGGCCTGCATCTTCTATTGATTTTTTAAATAGAGAACACCACAGATATTTCTTCCCGAAGATCCAACATTGTACCTTTTGATAACAGGGAAACTTTCTTTTAAATTCACCTTCCCCCCCCCTCAGAACTCCAGGATTTAAAAGAAATACAATATGGAGGCACAGACTTAATCTCACTTACAAATTTTATGATGTAAATAAGTGGGTGAATTGTTGATAAATCCATTCTCTAAGAACTTTCAGCCACAACAGGGTGTCAGGAGATTACATTTAAATTTTTATGCAGTTTCATTTTCTCAGTAAATTACCCTTCATGTATTTAAATAAAAATATCTCAATTTAAAACCCAGAAGTTAAAAATCTAAAACTGTGCAACAATTACTGCTTCCCTCCCACCCCTCCCCTTGTTTATTACACTGTACATGTAACACCCTGACTGTACCTTGTTAGCTGGTTTTTTTTAAGCTTTATAAAAGTATGACAAGTTCATTTTTGTTTAATCTAAAAGAAAAAACAAAACTGAAAGATACATCTGCTTTCTTTCATGGTACATTTAATAGTGTCGGAAGGCTTTTAGATTATAAAAAAATCAACATTTAAAACCAAATCTAAGCTTCACTCCCAGAAATAATTAAGGTTTGGTTAAGACAACATCTCATTTAACCTATTCCAGTTTCCACAAAAAGGTATTTAATTAAAAAAATCTTTATTTGGTCCTTTGGCAATTTGCTGCACACACAATGCCTACTGTACCAAACTCATTTATTGCCTTCAAAATGGTTTTAGTTTTATTGATTATAGTTAAATCAAATGTCCTTTTTGTTGTACAATAGTGTTGTTCATTTACATAGACTAGGGTGCAGAGTCTGGAGAAGTTACTCCTGGCACCACAAACAAAATGGTAATGTACAATTAAATAAAACAGTTTTGACATTCTTAATTTTTTTTGCTGTAGATTCCAAGTATTTTTCAAGAATTTATGCTTCTTTTGCAAAACCTGCTCTTTAAAATCCTCCTAGTGTCACACACAGATCTTTCATATGCACCCACAATTAAAAAAACCCAAAATCTTCTCGTAGGTCTGTCCTCTTGTAATCAAACACGGACTGCTTTTTTTTCCCCAAAAGCACAATTCTGACCTTCAGATGACTGGGCTCACTCTTCAGACCTCCAGATGAAGCTTCTTAATAGGTCTCAGAATCTGAGTCATTAAGCTCATCCTCTTCTGTATATGGGTAGCCATCTTCCCTGCCAATGTTGTTGAAACTACAATAAGAGCTATGTTCACTCCTCATGATTGGCAAGGAGTCAAACGTGACAGTTTTTGAGGTGCTGGTGTAATGATTAATGGCATTGAATGTAAGGGAAGGTAAAGTGCTGCTTGATGAAACAGGCATCATCGTGGCCAAAATGAGAGCTAGACAATCAGCCACGTCCTTATTGGGAGCACAGGCCAAAGCTGGTGTGTAACCTAGAAATCAAAATAAAATCAAAACCTTTGTTTAAAAAATAGGAAGTGTACAAATTCTTCAAGAGCTTTCAATCAGACAGCTGTAAAAACGTTTAAATTGCTTAGTTCTGTTTAAAAAGGAACATAAAATTAAACAATTTAAAATTAAAATATCATTTATTCTTGTAAAGTTTTGCTGTTGCAAAAGTATTATAATGTTTACCTGCTGATTATAGTCTCTCTCTCTCTCTCTCTCCACACACACACACACACACACACACACACACACACACACACACACACACACACACACACACACACACACACACAA